TCTCTCTCTCTCTCTCTCTCTCTCTCTCTCTCTCTCTCTCTCTCTTCCCGCTTCCCCAGTCTCAGAAGATAGGAGGAAGGTCTGGAGATCTGCACTTCGCATACCTCCCATGGGAGCCAGATATGACACCAGAAAGTGTCAGAGGAACAATTATCCACCAATGTTCCCTGCCTTGTAATTCTGGAGACAGCACTAGGATGGCCCTGGGAAGGGATGAGAGGCTGAAGCCCCATGGGACAACACAAAGCCGCTGAGTCTCAGAGTAACATTGTTTCACATCTCTTTCAGGATTGACGGAAGCTGCCACCTTGTGCCTCCATCCCTTTTCTGCATACGACTTGATTCCATGGGGGCTGGTGGGGGGGCAGTGTTGAGTTCATGCTTGTTGACACAATCATCCCTGGCTCTTCACACCACTAACAAGCCACCTGTTGCCACGTGGCCTGGTGCTGTGTTCATTCTCCTCATGTGAAAACTGAAGCCTTGCAGAGTACCCACCCCAGGACACTTGTGCAAACCTTCAAAGAGACCACAAGTGCATAGCACCAAACAAGCCACTGGACTGCAGAAAGTAATCAAACAACAGCTACCTTACGACCATGGCTGTCTCCAAGATGATGCCCATGGGACTTAAGATGCCCGTGGTGAACTGGGCTTACATCCACTCTTGAGGAGAGAGAGAGAGACAGAGAGAGAGGCAGAGAGAGAGGGAAACAGAGAGAGAGGCAGAGAGAGAGAGAGAGACAGAGAGAGACAGAGAGAGAGACAGAGAGGGAGACAGAGAGGGAGACAGAGAGAGACAGAGAGAGAGACAGAGAGGGAGACAGAGAAGGAGACAGAGAGAGACAGAGAGAGAGGGAAACAGAGAGAGAGGCAGAGAGAGAGAGAGAGAGAGAGAGAGAGAGAGAGAGAGAGAGAGAGAAGGGTGAAGCAAAGATCCACTTGTTAAGAGTGTAACCCCTGCCTATGCAGGGGATGTGTATACTTCAGATAGAACCAGCTTTTGAGCAGCAGCAAATAAGATCATCTATTTTCACAGCCCCTCATTCACAAACCCAAGAGCTTGCATCATGTCCAGCCTCCTTTGCAGCATCAGAAGCCTCACATCATCCAGTGAGGTAGCAGTGCCCGATTTCCACCCCTCGCTTGGGAGCATCACGCAACCCCCTTGTTCAAGTGCAGAGTTCAAGGTGAGCAAGCGGGAGAGGTGGCTGTTCTGTTCAGCGGCGGTACAAGCGCGCCTGGCGCTGTTTTCCTTGAGACCCTGTGTTCTCTGCGGCCCAGTGGTGGCGGTCTGTTCTGGATGCAGCAGAACACAATGTACAGAGAGAAGCTGGGATCACTTAACTGTGCTAATGTGCTAAGTGCCAACCCCTGAAGGATGCTATTGAGCTTTAATCAGCTTCTCACTCGGCCCCAGAACAAAGACTTCCCCCAGGGAGCCCAAGCAAGAAGCTGTGCAACCCATCACTCCAGAGATGCCTGCCCAGAGACTTGGCCCAGGCAAGCTATCAACTGACTGGTCAGGGACAAGGCTATCATCTCCATCACAGGGGGGCTCTAAGGGAACTTCTGTTACTAGCACCTGTGGCCTGTTTATTCAACCATGTTACCTACTCTTCAGGAGGCCTGCTGGTGGCTTCTATGCCTTGTGTCTATGACAAACAGCCCACGAGGACACCTGGCCATGACAGTAGCAGTTCCTAGCCAGTTCCTCCTGCCAGGAATGTGATCTTATTCCTTTAAGTGATCTGGAATCTTTTACAAAAAACAACCAGCCCCACTGTCTCTTCTTCACAAAGTAGGAGAGACCCCTGGCCACAGCTGTGATGGAGGATTGCTATCTGAACCTTTCACCTTTCTCAGGCCAAGCTCATTTCTGGATATCCTCATTCTAGGTGATCTCCACATCTCTAGACGATGTGGGGGAGAAACTTTTCATTCCTTTTACTGTCCCCCATGAGTGTCGACATCTTGTACCAAGTATAGTGTTTTGGCCCAGATTCTGAGCACACTACACATGAAGTTAGAAACCCACAGAAGACAGCCTCAAGCAATGAGTAAGATAGAGAACCCCAGAATTCCCGGCAGGAGGCACTGTCTGAGAACTGTTACTGTCCAGAACACTTCCCAGAAGGCTGGCTGGGTACTCCCTGACTGTCTGATTCCTACGCCCACTCTTCCTCCCACAGCACCCTGGGTAAGACATCTCACCCTCTCCCTAAAGCATAATAAGCCATAGGCAAGTACACCTCTCAGTCACTTTGAGGGGAACAGATAAACAGCTCGTGGTATATGCTCAGGACTTGAAGGTGACAGCCAGCAGGTCCAGTGGCACACACTTGCGGCTCCAGCTGGGAAGACTGAAGCCCATGCTACAGTATGAAATCATATCAATGGTGTCTTTGTATTTAACGTTCTTGGGGGGAGGGTATGGACAGGGTCAAGGGGGCACACAGGCCTTTGCAGGTTATTCTCAGAACACAGCCCCATGAGAAACCAGGACTGTGCACACTCACCCACATATATTTGGAGAGCAAGCTTGGCAACCCTGCAGAAGGGACAGGCATATCATACAACTTTACCCCTGCAGAGGGGACCCCAACCTCATTGTGGAACCCAGACCAGGCATATGGGGGATGCCATGTGTGGAAGATGGGAATCACTTTGCTCAGAGAAGCCATGGAGCACACAGAAGAGAGAAAAATTCAGATTTGGAAGTAGCAAAATAAAACACTATGGAAACCCCAAACTCTCTTGGGAATACTGTAGATGATGTGTTGTCATGGCAACCGGAGGCTGAATTATTCAGCAGTAGAATGTGGATGGTCCTAAGAAGGCACACAGGCAGAGAGCCAATTAGACCATTCCTGTGGGGAAGACACAGAGACACCAGAAGCCACCTCTGACCTCCTGGGGAGACTCACAGCCTCCTGCTCTTTGTGTCTAATTCTGGGATCCTTTTCCATTTTCAGATGTAATGACAAGAAACCGAGAATCTGCTGTATTACATCCTAGAGTCTAAAATTAGCTCCCAGTTCTGTGAGCGAAGGGGAATCCTGCCTACAGCCTTTGTCTTCCGTACCTCTTAGACATCCCCAAACCAAGTAGCTCCGCAGCTTCCAGGTCCACCTTTTGCAGTTAAGGTGCTTACAGGTGACCCACAGCCTCACCCTCTGAAGTTCCTTCCACTCCTGCAGGTGCTCTGCAGCCTTCCCTCTGCAGGTGACCCACAGTCCCACCCTCTAGGACACACCTAGCCAGTCCTACATTCTGAATGTGCATTATAGCCCCGCCCCTTGTAGCTCTACCATCTATAAATGCTCTTTAGCCCTGCCCTCTGTGGTCCAACATGGGGAAGTTTCCCTCTGGCCTGACCCATGGCCCAGACTGCTGAGTAACCATCACCTGATGGACCCCAGAGAGTCAAGGAATCCACCATTTGTTTCCGTAGGCCACAGCCAGACTCTGAGGCAGGAGGAGAGCCTGACCCTGCTGTGACTGAGTGTGGAAGGATGCTAGTGTATCTCTCACCCTGTAGCACATAACGTATGGTGCACATTCTACCCCACAAAGTGTGGCAGTGTATGGACGCATTCGTGTGAGCACAGCTTCTCCTGAAAGACTCAGGTAATCAAACAAAGCTGGACCCAATTCTTAAAGGGAGATAACTGGGTGGACTTTATGAGGAGCTGTATGTAGCCTGAACTATCACAGCAAAGACATGTCCGCAGTAATTTGGTCCAGACCTTCTCTTCTGTGACTCTCCCTTCTTCATACGTCTCCCTTGGCTTGTGCAGACCACTGGTTCACCAAGGGGTATCTTGGTGAGATCTGGAGAACGTTTTGATTGTCCCAGGGAACACAACAGGTAGAGGTCAGGGATACTGCTGAGCTACAGGCACACAGACAGCCCCAAGAGAGAGGTATGTATTCCCGTGCAATGCCACGAGCAAGAAATCTGCTACAGATCCCACATCCCCCTGTGAGGCCAGTGTGGATTCCAGAGGCTGAGACATGTCCACATGTCTCTTGGTCCTCAGCATCGGTTTGCACGTGTTCACTTACTTGGAAAGTTTCATCTCTATCTGCTGTCGGATCTCCTGCCTCTCCTCATCGGTCCTCCTGGGGAAGATGTTCCGGTCCTCCAGCTCCTGCTTGCTCGGTCGGTTCCTCAGCTTCACCGCCAGCAACTCCTTCTTGCATTTCCTCGGCAGTGTTCCTGTGAGACCCATCAGGATGAGAAACAGGTCTTAGAGAACTGGCTCCACGTAGCCTTCAGGGGATGGGGTCAGGAGTTAGATCCAGGGGCCTAGAGCTGAAACTGGATGACCCATACATGCCGCATTGTGCTGTTTCCAGAGGCTCAGTGGGCAGTGCAGGGTGTATGATACCACATTAGCCCCCGACCCCGTCACATGCTCGACCACAGTGGGTATCATACATCCCAAGTGTCCAGGAACTAGATACCTGGGTGACCATAGCCCACATCCTCTTTCAAAGCCATCTGAATGAATTAGAGTGACTCTAGCTGTTGTGGCTGTGACTCCAGCCTCAGATAGCAATGACTTCTCTCCAGTGCCTTCCACTTTCTAACCACATACATGTGCTTTCAGTACATACAGCACGCCACCCTAGAGGCTCCCCTGCCTACCCTCTGCCTTGCCGGCATTGCTTATACATGACATCTCTCTAATCAGTAGGACACTGCTGGGTCAGGGTCTCCATCAGGAACTGGCGCCCTGTCTTATTTCCCTTGACTGGCAGCTGTTAACCACTCGTCCTTCTCTGTCTCCTCCTCTGAAGATTGGTTCAATGACAGCCACTCTCCCCTGAGAGACATGTGGACACCAGAGTCAGTCATTCAAGAATGTCGCAAGTGAACGCACGACCAGTTTGGCTCTGGGTCTGCCTGGCTCGGTTGCATCTTAGCATTTAGACATATGCATGCACATCGTAAGCATCACTCGAGAAATTCGAAAGGATAGAAAATCAGCCCCTGAGACAGAGCCTGCCCCCTCTGAGAAGCAGAAACACAAAACAAGGCAATATACAGAATGTGATACCTTAAGAGGAATTTAGGAGATAAAACACAAGTCTGCTGAGGTCTGAATGTCTAATTGGAGTCATTCATCATGTGCCTTACAGAGAAAGAAAAGGTTAATGTAAGTGGCTCAGGCAGAGACTCCATCCTGAGTCTGCCTTACTGGCTTTGCAAATGATGGCATCCTGGATTTGTTGGCTCATAGTCTGAAGAAGCCATACACACAACAGTTCCAGTTGGTGTTTCTGAAGGATGTGGTGACTTAGTGAACTGGGGGTATTTCAAGGATCTAGAGAGAAATTCTTTGTGAACGTTGGGGGGTTTTTGCCTGGTAAGGGAAAGTCAGCCATTCTCTGGGCACTGTGGCATGCTCAACCATAAGGGTCCACTGAGTGTGTGTCACCCTCACAGATGAGTCTGGAAGACACTGTGAATGCCTCAGGGTCATCATTACAAACCTGATTAAACTCACTCTTAACTGAGAGAGCCTGTCATGAGTACCTCTAGTCAGGAGTGGAAAGTTTCCCTGCATGAGATCTTTGTGAATTAATTTTCATCTGTGTATTCCAAGTCTCCAGAACTGCCACAGGACACACAGTAGGTCCACAGCCAAGAACTTCTGATTTTTCTTCACTAAGGTCTAGTCTGGAGGTTACCAAGGTCTGCTACTTGGCACTCAGGGGGAAATAATAACAAAGGGAAGGTTCCAGAGGAGGGGTATCTACAGAAAAGACTTCTGACAGGATTGGTCCTGAGGAACATGGGATACTGGCTTCTTCCTCAGGTACTGGTATGGTCCACTGACCACAGCACAGGACAGACCACAGCATGGGGCTGCACCTGGCCTTCCACTCTCCACACATGTTGTATCCCCTGTGAGGCTCAGCATGCTCCCCAAGTTTCAGCCTCATTAACCTCCAAGATTCACCCCAGAGGAGGAAAGATGGGTAATGGGCAATCTCTGCCTCCAGCACTCTGACATCATTCAGGTACAGATATCCTCAACTGCTACCTGTTCTGTCTTCTCAGGCCATAGAACCAGCCCTGTGTCCTTCCAGCTCTGACATGCCTGGCCCTACACACACACACACACACACACACACACACACACACACACACACACACACACGTGTGCTCAGGACTCAGACTTTTCCATGTCTGTCTGCTCGGCTCCTGCATATCTCCCACTGCTTCTGGATGCTAAGCTCTAACTGCTGAGGAGGGCTCATTATCTCCACAGCAGACCCGACTTCCTAACATCTAAGCCTAAGAAATCAGCTCCTATTCCTGTGCCTGTACCTGTACCTGAGTGTAGAAAAGGTATATCCGCCTTGGTTGGCACAGAAGCGAGCTGCTGGTACCCTGCCAGACCACAGAGACATGAGTGGCAGGCCAGAGGGAAACCCAGGGCTGCCCCAGCACCCATGCTTTTCAAGCATGACACCCATGAGTCAGGGTGTGTCGTTTTGTCACATACCTGCCTCACACCTGGTACCTAAAAGCAACAACAGGGACAGAAAGAGATGAGACAAGAGCAGCTGTGGTGGCCTCAAGTGCGCCAGGTGGGCTCTGCTGCGCATCCTCCCTGCAGTGCATTCTGTATGCTCTCTTGTATAAAGAGCCTGACGCACATTGACTCAGTGGAGAGAAATGGATCAAGTGAGCTCGGCAGTGGCGAGGGCCTCACTCGCTTGTTCTACTACATTTGAACTCGATAACGTGTGCAAGGTCATACTGCACAGAGTGACAGACAAACCCTACAGGGATCCAGTCCAGCCTGAGTTGCATCGTGAATCAAAGCCAGCCTGGGCTATATAGGATGCTGCCAAGAAAGAAGAGGACGGAGAAATGGGACCGTGAGCGTATCTACTTCTGCCTTGTGTGCATGGGCTGGATCCTCTCTTCTCTCCAAGAAAAGTAGGAGTCAGAGTATAAATGATTTTCAGGTTCTGGAAATGAGCAGAAATGGAGGGAAAGCTAGAGCGAGGGGCATTGAATGAGGCACACCCTAGGAGTCTAGCCGATGCCTTAGGATGGTTGTTGGGTTGCAGGGACCTAAAAAGAGCCTCAGAAACTGAGTTGAAGTTGAGATGATGAAGCAGAGAGGTCCAAGGGGCCCACATCTGGAGTCTGTGGGACAAACAGCTGGAAAACCTGAGCAAAAACCAAGAACCCCAAGGTGTGTACAGTCTGGCATCTGCCTATGAAAGAGGGCCAGGGAGACCCTGCCTGGGGCCTGAGGACACTGGGAGATCCAGTGCTGTGCCCTGTGACCATCAGTCAGGCTGGAACATGCTGTGATTGTTCAGACACTGGGACAGGTTCACAGATGGTCCTGGTCTTCGGAACAAACAGTGATGGGCTGGATGGAGCTCAGTTCCACTTCTGTCTATGAAATTGTAAAAACCAGACCAGGATGCGTGAGCTCGTTTCCAAGTAACCGGGCTGCTTCCCAGAATAAACCTCAACAGATATTTATAGGACTGGAAGAGCATCCGACAACCAAGAAATAGATTCACGATGTGTGTCAGCCAACTGAAACTCCCCACGCCTACAGAGATGCGGGAAGGGCTCGGCCAAGCTCCAGCAGCACGAAGAAGCCCATGTAGAGCCTGTCGTCACCATGGCTGACAGAGAGAACACCTCAGTGGTCTCCATAGACAGACAGGCACACTGGGGCACAATGAAGGGTCCCAGGGTCACCCAGAAGCAACACATTGAGAAGACATTCACTGGAAGACAGCTCAGATGATTCACACTCAACACATGCTAAAAATACCTCTCAGGATGAAGGCAAACACTTTTGCAGAAGCTAGAAAGCAGTAAGAATCAATGGCTATGAAAGATGGCAAAAGAAATCCTTTAGGCGGTAGGGAAAGGACTGACTTCAGAAGGAATCCTAAAATCTGAACAATGAAAGAGGAGGCACTGGGTGGTGCCTGCAATGTATAGACATATTTGTACTTAATTCTCTTGAAGGAAATCTATCTTTTAAAAAAATATTTTTCAGTTGTGTGTATTTGTATGTGGGTCTACGCATGTGTGGGGATAGGCTTCTCTGAAGGCCACAGAGGAAGACATTAGATTCCCCTGGAGCTGGAGTTAACAGGCAGTTGTGAGCTTCCCAACATTGCTAGAAACTGAACTTGGTTCCTCTGAAAGAGCAATGTGTGCTCTTAGCTGCTGAGCCATTCCTCCATACTAGGAAAACTGAGCAATAACAACAACAACAATAATAATAATATAACAGTGGAGAGGCAAAGAGATGTACTTACTGTAAGGTGATTGCCCCAAATGGAAGGCAGCACAATCAGGCTTCCAGGTATGGCTCAGTGGGCAGACTGCCTGCCCAGCAAGTGTGAGGCCCTCAGTTCAACCCTTAGCACTATGTAAGAGTCAGTCATGGTGGCAACCACTTGCTATCTCAGCACTAAAGAACTGGAAGCAGGGAAGTGGGAGAATCAGGAGTCCAAAGCCATCCTTAGCTACATAGTTAATTTTGGGGCAACCTGGACTACATGAGTTCCTATCTCAAAAACAAACAAGGCTGGAATGATGGCTCCATATTAAAAACACAGCCGTCTCTGCAGAAGACCTAGTTTTGATTCAGAGCAGCCACATTGGTGGCTCACAACCCTCTCAACTCAGCTCTAGGAGATCTGATGTCCTGGTATGACTCCCTGGGGCTTTTTCATACATGTGGTGCACATAAATACACCCAGACATGCACACATACAGATAAAATTGTTTCAAAACCCCACATACCCACAAGTAAATTTAAATGTGAAAAATCAATCATATTCATGTAAGAACACTCTAAATAAAAAAAAAGTATAGCTGAAAAGCAGGACCAAAGTCCACACTGTCACAAAATAACCACTAAGAAAGGAGAGGGAAGGGCACCCCCATTCTCATCCCAGTCAAAGAAACTTAAAGAAGGCCTATTTACAGACACAAAGAACCTCAGAGCAAACACATTTGTCAGAGACAGGAAGGATCACTCCATTGTCACAGAGAAATCACTCTACACGGAAATCATGAGGCGTCTAAAGCTTCTTTGGAGCTTCTGAATACGTAAATTAAAGCCCAAGAAAAACATGTAGGTCATAACTGTAGCCATGAGTCTCAGAGGTCTTTCCTCCATCATTCACAGAAGTTAGAGGGGCAGACTTGAACAC